ATATTCCAGTCGTATACCGGCAAACCCTAGAGCGGAAAAAAATAAAAACTTAAAAATTCATCGAAATTTAGGTGTAGAAGCTTCTTCACGCCTATGGAATATTTTTTTCCTCAAAGTATGAACGAAAATGAAAATTTTCTTTTTTTATTTACTTGAATCGCATGCGCCATTCAAAAGTTATGAATTTTTGAATATTCAAAGTTTGGTAGTCATTATCTCAGAAATAAAAAATCATGAGGCAATGAAATTTGGCAGAAATACTGTCTATATATAGTATTTCGAAATGCGGCAATCAAATCATTTTTTCTAGACAAAAAAAAATCCGGGATGGCTGAGTTGACATGGAATGTCCCATATATTTTTTCGGTTATTTCGTATTCACATATACATTTTTCCGGATGTTTCGTGCTTACTCTTCAATTGTTCTCGGATGTCATTTTGAGGTTGGATAAACGACACTCCTGACCAAAATCCGCACGTGAAGAATAATCCGACAAATACCCCTCGTGCTTCAAAATTCTCTGGTATTTCCCTCAAACTTCCCTGCAAACAAACGATCGCGTAAGCGCTCGGGATTTCTGAACCTGCAAAACTTGACACTTTTGTTTGTTTACAACGAAGTTATCGGGAAATACCCGATAATTTTGAAGCACTCGGGGTATTACTACTGAATAAAAATAGAAAGCCAACGATAGCTCGGTCGGTAGGGTGAACGATTTCTAATCCGATGATTCGGGTTCGAAACCCAATGGGTGCCGATCGGATTTCGAACTCCGAGAAATCAAACGTTGTCCGCATTTCTTTGGGAAATGATCTTGGGATTTCTGTACACAAACATTGGACAATGGATACAAAAAATGGGAGCGCAATGAAATCAAAGGTTCCGAGTGGGGGTGAGAATAAACAACCGATTTCTCGGAATTCAGTTTCCATACGAGTCATAGAGTTGCCTCAATAATAACCGTTTGATTAGTCCCCATCACACACTTGAGTGTTGAACATCTCACACGGTTCATTACAGTATCGTTAACAGAAATTCTCCGACGGTTATTCTCCTGTACTTATTCTCCATCAACTTTAATCAAGGTAAGTGATGATATAAAATATTTCAGTAGTGAAGTTGTAAACTCAATCGATCGTTATTATTATTTTTTTCCCTTTTTTTGAATGTTTAGAACTGTTCTTCATTCTTATTCCACAAGATGCCGCATGCCGAAAGATGTGTAAATCCAATGCGAGTTCCTGGGGGAGAAAGGTCACAATGGAGAAGACCTGCGTTCAATCTCAGAAAGACTACGACAGACATTTCCATTGTTGCCAGAAAATGCAAAACTATGTAGTTCCTGTAGGAAAAGAGCTTTGACTTACATTCCTGGATCACTACCCTCTGAATCTTCATCGAATCGGGAAGTCTCTTCATCGTCATCAAATGTTCCAGCCGATTGTTCGTCCAGTGCCACACCATTTCTAGTAAACATTTCTACGAGCAATATCGCAGGGACTTCTTTGAGATCAGGTAATTCCTTCCATTCAATTGATCCTGATGGGGATGTGATTTTCAATGAAGCTTCAGAGGAGCACGATGCTCCAACAGCAGATGATGATTCAGAGACAGAGCACCACAGGAACATTCCAGCAAATTTTCGTTCTCCACGAGAATTGGAATTGGAAGAAATATTGGATGGACTCAAGCAAAAATTCAATACTATGACAGAATATTCTGAACGTATTCAACTCTTGACTATTGCTCCACCTTCATGGAGTGTGCGAATTAGAGCCGTGAATTTGATACGATAAGGTACATGGCTAGGAGAGCAAAACAACTGCGAGAACAGAGAGGAATATTTGCTCCAACAGTTGCGAAGGCTGGGAAATCATTGCCCAAAGAGACAGTTGAAACGGTCCGGAGTTTTTATGAGAGTAATAGTCGGATGATGCCAGGGATGAAGGATAAAGTGTCAGTCAAAATCAGCGACGTGAAGAAAATAATGCAGAAGCGGATGGTCCTCGAGAACTTGAATGATCTTCATGAGAAATCTAAAATTGCTCATCCAGAGTCTCCGGTGGGATTCAGCAAGTTTGTGGAATTGAGGCCGAAGCACTGTGTATTGGCAGGAGCGAGTGGTACGCACGTGGTATGTGTCTGTACCTGTCATCAAAATTGTAAGTTGATGTTGAATGTAATCAACATTGATCAACGCCTGATGAGTGTAAAACTTAGATGAGTGTAAAAACTGTCCTGAAGTTGAAGGATTATCGCTCGAGCTGAAAGAACTCCTCCACGATGCTGTGATTGAAACTGTAGAATTCAGGACTTGGCAATCTGTGGATAGAACAACATTACAGACCCAGAGACTTCCAGTGTATGAATTTGTTGATGTACTTTGTGAGAGATTGAACGTATTGAAATCTCATCATTTTATTGCCATACAACAAAACTCTTTCGTGAAAGAACGAAAGGGGAATTTAAGTGAGAGTGAAATTTTAGTGCAGGCCGACTTTTCGGAGAATTATTCTTTCGTAGCTCAAGACGCTGCTCAATCGTTCCATTACAACAATGATCAATGCACTGTCCATCCTGTGGTGTATTATTATGGCCATGGCAATGATATTCGACATAGAATTCTAGTCCTCTTATCTGACAGTCTCCTTCACGATACTACTGCAGTTCATTTAATGCAACAGATTCTGATACGACACATAAAACAAGTCTGTGCTGTCGTAAACAAATTGATCTGCAGATGGTGCTGATGGTGCTGGACAGCACTATAAAAATCGATATAACATGGCTAATCTTTCGTTGCATAAAAATGATTTTGAAGTTGAAGCAGAGGCGCACTATCATGCGACCGCGCATGGAAAGACGGCATGCGATGGCGTAGGCGCAGTTCTGAAGAGGGAAGCAAGACGAAGAAGTCTGCAAATTACTAATGGTGAACCTATTCTCACTCCAGATGGTCTGTTCCAGTGGGGAAAGAATAATTTCAAGGATCTCGATGTGTTTTTCTACACTAAACAGGAACACGAGGATATGAAAGAACGGTTGAAAACAAGATTCGACAGTGCAAAGGCAATTCCAGCGATATAAAAAAATCACGGCTTCTTTCCTGTGGGAGAAAAGGAATTATTGATTCAGAGATATTCTTCTGCGACTACGGGAGAAGTTTTTCCAAAGGCGAAGAAATGAAATGGACGACGTACATTAAGATAGCCATTGTGATTTAGAAAAGTTCGATTGCAAATTGCTTTTTCTCTATAATTTAATGTTTATTTTTCAAATTACAAACTTAAAACAGACATATACTCCATGTTGATCTAACAACTGATCAAATATTTGGTACTTTGCGAATTCTCATTGTCGTTCATGTAAGTAGAGCTGTTAATAATCAATAAATTCAACTTTTTTCTATAAAAAACATTTTTTATCCATCACTACTTATGCATCGCATCTTCAAATTATGCCGAAAAATTGCACGNTAGAAAAGTTCGATTGCAAATTGCTTTTTCTCTATAATTTAATGTTTATTTTTCAAATTACAAACTNGGCCATGGCAATGATATTCGACATAGAATTCTAGTCCTCTTATCTGACAGTCTCCTTCACGATACTACTGCAGTTCATTTAATGCAACAGATTCTGATACGACACATAAAACAAGTCTGTGCTGTCGTAAACAAATTGATCTGCAGATGGTGCTGATGGTGCTGGACAGCACTATAAAAATCGATATAACATGGCTAATCTTTCGTTGCATAAAAATGATTTTGAAGTTGAAGCAGAGGCGCACTATCATGCGACCGCGCATGGAAAGACGGCATGCGATGGCGTAGGCGCAGTTCTGAAGAGGGAAGCAAGACGAAGAAGTCTGCAAATTACTAATGGTGAACCTATTCTCACTCCAGATGGTCTGTTCCAGTGGGGAAAGAATAATTTCAAGGATCTCGATGTGTTTTTCTACACTAAACAGGAACACGAGGATATGAAAGAACGGTTGAAAACAAGATTCGACAGTGCAAAGGCAATTCCAGCGATATAAAAAAATCACGGCTTCTTTCCTGTGGGAGAAAAGGAATTATTGATTCAGAGATATTCTTCTGCGACTACGGGAGAAGTTTTTCCAAAGGCGAAGAAATGAAATGGACGACGTACATTAAGATAGCCATTGTGATTTAGAAAAGTTCGATTGCAAATTGCTTTTTCTCTATAATTTAATGTTTATTTTTCAAATTACAAACTTAAAACAGACATATACTCCATGTTGATCTAACAACTGATCAAATATTTGGTACTTTGCGAATTCTCATTGTCGTTCATGTAAGTAGAGCTGTTAATAATCAATAAATTCAACTTTTTTCTATAAAAAACATTTTTTATCCATCACTACTTATGCATCTCATCTTCAAATTATGCCGAAAAATTGCACGCTCATCCTTTCATGAGGCATTCATCATTTTTCAGGAACAAAATTCGGAAAATCTAATTTTTCATGAGAAAAAAAATTTTCTCTCATCTCCATATGGCTATCCCACTTTGAAATACCCCGAAAAAGTTGAGTAATATCACTATTCATCGAAGAAGAAAAAAATTATTCAATTTTCGAATGGCCCCTGCATAACAGAAGGATTTAAATAACATAAAACTTGAAAAATGACTCATTATTCTTCCTCGTGGTACTGTCGTATTTTTATTCCAAAAGTATATGAAAAAACGAAAAAAATCTTTTTTTATTCATCAAAATCGGCCAATTTGTTCGCAAGATATGATTTTTCAAAAATTTGAGCTTTTGTTTTTGTCCTGGCCAAACAATTAATGTTAAAGGAGCGAAAATTTAGAGAAAGTATGTACTCATGTAGTACTTGACTGGGAGCATGCTAATTCAAGATTCTGAGAACCAAAAAATTCCAGAGTGGCTGAGTTGACATGGCATGTCTCATATATTACTTTATTCAACTGTCGCCTTCTTCATTATGAAAAAGTCTCTTGTGGTGATCGCATCAACATGGATGTCGCTGTCGTTATCCAAGGTTTCCGTGGCAAAAATGGGAAATTCTTGCCAAATGAAATTGCTGTTGCTAATACTGAGGGAGTATTTCTTTCGCACTGGATTTTGAATGCACCTTACCTGTACTTAGACCATACCACCTGCCGGCGTGAGACGAACAATAGACTCACAACCAACAATCACGGAATCGAGTGGCATGATGGGGATACAGAAGTGCGGGACGCTTTACATAATAATGGAGAGCTGTGCAGAAATGTTCGCTGTATTTTTATTATTGGTGGTGAGGAGGCTGTATATCTCCAGATCTTATCTGCACGAGAGACCATAAATTTAGGCACAGAGACGGATTTTAGAAACAATACATGTCTGCAGAATGAAGAAAAGACTGTGTGTTACATCCATGCCATGAAAAACAAGATGGACGTTCAGATGTTTAACTGCGCCTTACAAACCGTTTTGAATATACGTAATCATTTAATTCATAAGAAGTGGGAGGAGAATACAACGCGTCAGTGTTCAAGATCCGAGAACGATGACGTGTTCGACGACGCCGACACTCAAAATATCGACGCTAAAACCCCTGTTCGTAAATGTATTTTCAATATTTTTGAACAGTTTTGCACATCAAATTGATAGAATTGGTATTGTAACTCTAGAGAGGTGAAATTCATTTTTAAAAGAAGACCGAGGACGGCCGCAACCTTGGGTTTACCTGTATTTCGCAGTCATTGTGTCGAAACTATTGAGCACCGTACGAGGTATTTATTGGATTTTACTCATCGCCATCGCAATGACCTGTGCTACGCGCCTTCTAATCAACCGCAAAAATAAAGATATTGAAATCGGTAATACCGAAGACGCTACTGAAAATAAGGAAACACCCTCCGTTGTATACATTCTAATTATAATGATATGTCTAGTCGCAGCAATTGTAAGCCCTTTATATATATCAGGAATGGAATGGGTAGATGCTCTTTTCACTCATTATTATTATTGCATACCAGATCTTTTCAATGAAACGTTAGGTAACTCATCATTGACACAAAATGTAACCGAAATGTTGAATACAACTCTGTAGAAAATGTAAAATTTGTACAAGTGTTTCATTGTCTATTGTTAACGTATTCCTAACACCAGACCCTTCCGGACAAGTGCTCTTAATTGCAGCTGTGTTTACCTAAGGCCCGCCAGACGCTACCCCATCCACCTTCATAGTCACCTGATACTTGTTCTCGAATATTTTACGATTCCCGCCTTTACCCCCCCCCC